GGGATGGGGGTCGTGGCTGTTCCTGGCATGCACATTGGGCGAGAGCCAGAATAGAACGCACGATGGATAATTGAAGGCGCTGTCATTACTCACTCGCCTTTTGCCGGTCCTAGGACGGGTGTATTGCAGTCAATCTGAAACTTGCAAGCGAAAAGCAGACCGCGACGTGATATCCACTGCATTAATGCGTGTGCAGTTTGTCGGGGCGCGGTGACACAGACCCATTTCATTTTAAGGTTACAATCCCTTATTTTAGTTTTTTTCAGTTATTTAATTTTATTGATTATTTTACCAACGTGACTTTAACGAAAAAACACCCAAAGAGTATGAATCCTTGCAGTCAGTTTCAAATCTAGAATCCCTTCTTCATCATGACGTCCTTTTTACTTTGATGTCTCAACAGCGTTACGGAGATCGCGTGATGACGTGAGGGTTCTGCCTTTGCAGTGAGGGTTGTGAGTTGACGTCGAGGAGGGGGGAGGAGGCGCCTCGCCCCCCCCCATGTGGAGTGACGTCAGCCGCTAATTATTATTAATGAGGGAGGCTGACCGACGTGGAGTGACATCACGCGCGGGACACACAGACATTCTTGGCTCATTATAGTAGGTACTGTAATTCTGTTCAGGGTTTAAATGTTGTGTTCATCATCGACTGTGTCACGACCACCCCCGACCACACTGCCCCGTCCCTTTAAGCCAACTCGCACTGCAGAGGCGCATCCATGCAACACAGAGAGAGAGAGAGGCTGCTTCTCTCATCCTCTCAGACAATTCCAGTCCAGTGGCAGCTGCTTCCAGTGGCAGCACAACGACTGCGCTGGCTGTCAGCTCCGAAGGCTTTTACCGCTGCAGGTGCTGCTGCTGCTGCGGTAAGCCTTGTGTCACGCACGCAGGAATTGCAGACTCCCCAGTATCGATGCGGCACCCCCCCCATCACCACTCGCTGTCCTTACGCCTGACAATCTCAATGAGTTATTACCACGGGGTTAGCCGCTTGTAGAACGACAGCATCCAAAATAAGAATTTTTTTTTTAAATGACACGGTTTGTTTGCGAGCAATTTCACTGCGGTTCCACGCCGTTTAGCCTCCTGCTGCCGGCGGCGGCTCGAGGTCATCGAGCGTGGCACTGCCGTCTCGCGGTGGTGACCCCCCCACCCCCTCCCGTGTGGTGGCCTGGCAGTGCACCAGGGCCAAGGGCAGGGGCTGGCCGGCAGCCAACTTCGTAGCCCCCCCCTCCCCCCCGAAATACCTCGTGGTGCAAAAGCAGGTGTACGATACGAGCACACACCTGCGCGCGCGCGCGCGCGCGTGTGTATGTTTGTGTGCGTCTTTGTTGTGGGGAGCTGGTGAGTGTCGTGGTGGTGGTGAGCTTCGTGGCGCAGGTAAATTCGGGGCTCTTTGACTTAGATTCTCAGCCACGGCTTGCGTCAGTAGGCGATTGTCTGAATCGATTGTTGGCCTCCCATAGGTCGACTCGGTCACAAAAGGTTACCTGGTAGGGTGTAAATATCAGAAACTGCAGAAACGGCGGCCTGCTGTGGTACTGGCCTCACCAACCCCTCGAGTGCCATGCTGGCCGAACAAAACAGCACTTGCCCCAATAGCCTACGTGGGCTACACGGGGGATATTTGTCTTTGTGTGCGCGCGCGCCACTGGGCTGGTTTGACCGGTTCCCCCCCCCCCCCGCTCATTGAAATACGCAAATATCGTGATAAAAATCTCTTCCAAAAACAAAAGAGAAATTCCCAGTTTCTATGTTGAGGTCGAAAGTTCCTCTTATTTTCGAAACTTCCTCTGAATCACGAATGCAGCATCTTTCACTTCAAACTTTAAAAAGCACTTTCGTCGTGACTTAATCTGCAAATGTTTATTGTTTTAACATTAGAGATACACATCAATCACAATTTCCATTAACGTGCATTTGATGTTATTCCGTGAATTACATCGTTTTAAAGTTTAACTTAGATTTACAGTGTTCTGTACACGATTATTCTCATAATTTTACATGTCCTCTGGTATTGGCTTAAAATAATATATTTTTTAAAGCCCTTTTTGAATCCACTGCTGGATGAGGCCTCCTCCACGTACAGTGTCAGATTGTGGGGGTTCTTTGACCACACTTCACACCGCTGGTCAGTGCGGATTGGCGAATGGGCGACGACCGACCAGCACCGGTTTAAATATCACTCTCCATCAGTTTAAATATCACTCACCACCGGTTTAAATATCACACACAGCCTCTGTCCACTCAAAAGTATGAATGGGTCAGGTCAGCCACAGATCAGGCAACCGTCATGTCACGTGGGGTGGGATACATAATTATTCATCAAATCACCAGGGGTGATTCTTTACACCCCGACGGCTGCTGTTGCTGCGACTGATATCACTGCTATTTATGCTGCTGCTACTGCTGATAATGACGACGATGATATTACCACTTTTGATAATCCAGTCATGATAATAAAGTGGATTTCAAAATATAGCTGAGCCATGGGAACGTGCACCGACTTTAGGAGTCAGACCTTTCACGAAACACCGCATGCTGTTATTGCCCTCTAGTGGAAGAACATAATTGCCCCATCGTGAACCGCTTGGTGTCACACTTCACTTAAGATATTCTGAAGTTTTTTGTTTGTTATTTTACCAGGTAAGGCCCACTGAGATGTGTAGCTGTTTTTCAGAAGCGACCTGGCCACAAATGACAGCTCAACGAAGTGGCTTATCATGTAGAAATGTATAGCAGCCAAATACTCTAAACGCACGTTGATTCTAAATGTAGAGGGGAAAACCGGAGGACCCGGAAAAAAATCCACACGACCACGGGAAGAGAGACACGCAAACTCCAAATATTATGGCGTCAGGGTCGGGATTTAACCCACGACCTCTTGTATACCAGACGAGGTAGTTAACATCTTCTTACAAAGAAGACTGTTATAAATGTGCAAATGTAACACATCTTACAGCTTACATAAAAACAATATGTAATTATTTACTGGCTTTTTCACTTTAGGCAAATATTTAAATTTGCCGTGCTAAATAGAAAAATAAAAGCCCTACTATCATAGTACAACATCGTGTTTGAATGTTATTGCGTAAACGATTATTCGAATGTGAATTGATAAAAAAAATACAGTTCTGCGTTAGTTGGACAGCTGGTTGGGCAATGACGACCATAATACTCCAGTCAGTGCCGGATTAAACTGGTGCGGGGCCTGTAGCATTATGTTATAAAGGGGCCCTAAATATAAGAAAACATTAATATTAAAACACACAAATGTTTCACTTGCATAGTAAAGTAATTGTATTTTTTCATTTGCTATACAGCCAGATAATATTTGAAATTGCTAACCGTAAACACCCAGTCGTTCGTAAACGTTGAAGGCAGTATAGTACTATCGTAATAGAGCAGTGCAGAATCACTGAACCGGAATTGATAGCTTGAAAGCATTTAGCGCGGGGCCCTTGAAAGTGCAGGACCTGTAGCAAATGTAGCTACTTTTGTTACTAGGATAATCCGGCACTGACTCCAGTTTAATCAAGATGCGGCTGAGCCAGAGAACGGCGGATTTGTTGATCGGGCAAGAGGGAGCAATGGACCACCACATTGACCAGAGTAATAACAATTTGGCCACGAGAGGGAGTCAAATGATTGACCAAGCATTAACGGGGCCAAACTGGTGTGGCGATGACAATGATGCTGGAACCTCTCTGCATTCTAAATTACCTCGCAATTGCCGAGCAGAGTTGCCACTTGTCCTTGGTTTCCCATCTGCCTTGGTTTTTTTTTATTGAGTGTCCCCTGTTTAGGGTATCTGTCATAGACCATCTCAAATAAAAGCCTCACTTTCGTCTGTGGCATAATACCTCATTTGTATAATAGTCCACTCAAGACAGTGCGGTCACATGTAGATCTCCCCTCTTCAGGGGTTGTGAGATATTCTTCTTCTCATTGTCCTGGTTTTTTTATTCAATCAATTACGATTAGAACGGTTGGCTACGTACGGTGCCATGGAAGTTCAACATACAGTCGGTGGCATCACTAGGGTTTGTGTCACCCAGCATGGTAACTCGTGGTGTCAACCCCCATGTACCTCCTCCCGTACCAGACTACACTGAATCCTTAGCAATGTTTGTTGTACTAATGTTACTCGTACATCGTAATTCCCGTATATCACTGAATGTAATGGCAATAGTAGTGGGGAATAATAGCCATGTTCTGTACTTTTGAGGCATAAGCAATTAGGAAATAACACTTGCTACCAAGGAACACAATTTTTTTTGTGACACAGTAATTCTTATTGCTCTATAATTTTGTATTGAACAAGGGCCAATATCTTAAGGAGAATGGGTGCTTGCCTGCAACGTCTGGCAGCCTGACTCTGCTGATGAGACACTGCATTCTAGATTTGAAGCTTTCGTGACTGCAAGTATTCATACTCTTAGGTTATTTCGGTAAAGTCACGTAGGTAAAAATTAAAATTAATAAAAGTAAAATAAAAATCATGACGTTTCGGAGGCAACACAAGCTTCCGTCTTCAGGTGGAACCGTCACAGCACAATAGCTGTATCTTACTTGATACAGCAATTGACTGACTTTACCGAAAAAAAACCAAAGAGTATGAGACACTGCGCCGCTTCTCGCTGGCAGCCCCAACAGTCTGGAACGATATCCCTCTGCACATTCGCAGCATCACCTCAATCGCCTTCTTCAAGAGAGACTTAAAAACTCACCTCTACAACCACGTGCTTTCGAGCGACTCTGAGCTTGTCTCCGCGCCTCTGAGTTGCGGCCACTATGTCTGCAAATTTGCGCGCGTTACAAATTGAACTATTATTATTATTGTACCGCATCAATACTGCTGCAATTATTGAATCCCAGAAGGCCGTAGGTCCGGTGGGTGGTGTCAAGGATACTTGTACATTTGATGCACCGGAGACGACACTGTCGTCTCATACTAAATGTGAATGCGCGTGCTGTCGCCCTCGCTCGTGAGTGCAGTCTGCAAGTTCACGTGCCACCACCGCTGCCGCGAGCTCATCCGACTGGACTGCCAGAGGCAGCGCTCCCAGCTGGGCAGCACCTCCGAGCAGGAACTCGACGAGGTGAGAGAAGCGGGCCGTGGGGGAAATGCTGCGGCAGGCATCGCCGGAGCAAGGGCGGTGGTTGGAGGTCACGCGGGGTGGTTCTACCCTGCGACCCCTTCCTCTTAATGCGCCCGCCCTTTCTCTACAGGCCTCTTGGGCTATAACAATAGGTGTTACCCTTTCTGGCAATACAACAGTTGTGTCAAGATGTTAAAACAGAATCCTTATTTAAGGAATCCTGTCTGCATTAGCCACACGTACTTGTGGTGAACATGCAAATAAAAACATGCTCTGATAATTACATATGGCATTGTCTTTGAAACGGATTGGTCCACGCCAGAGACAGCTTTCTTTAGAGACGAGTCTCAAACAGTGTTAGACCAGAGGGCGTCAAAAGGCGAACAGCACAAAGACAAAGCACTATCAGGGCATTTATAGCTTGGGGTGAGCAGCTACAATATGGGACCTTTCCTGGGGCTAGTTTTTAGCACTTTTTTGAGACTTGGCAACTGTGGACTGAAGCAAGTTGTTACGAGCGGCAGCGTGATTGGGGAGTGGTGGATGTCGTGTGCCGTGTTGGCCTTCACGGGTGCTACTTGCTAACAGCAATTTCCCCAAAATACTGTAATGCATATCAAAACAAGCTAAATCATTGTTCCTCACTCGTTTCCAGAGGGGGGGGGGGGGGGGCCACTTTCGCCGATATCGGTGTGAGGGCCGCCACACCGCTTGCAAGGGGGAGGGATGTTGTCACATGTTGTGCATTGCCAGGGGCTGTACGTCAGGGGCCGCATTAAAGGCCACCACCAGGGGCCACAGTGGCCCGGCCGTGTCATGAAGAACACTGAGGTAGGAGAACCGGGCGGTGGGAAATGCCGAGGCAGACATCACTGGAGTGGCCTGGGGGGGGGCACAGCCACGCTTTGGAGGTTGGGGTGGAGTTGTCCGACTCACGAAGAGTTCCCCGCTGGTTATTGGTTACATTGCGGATCGGATCGGTTACTTGATAGTTTCCTTTCATTGGTTCAGTATCCATACGAACATTTTCGATCACATATTCTGAACGTACACCAGAACACATAATGGACGCGTGCGTGCAGTGAAGGGCGGGTGCGATCATTAATCTGGAGAAAAGTAACAAGTGTGCACACGATTGCCACGGTTGGCTATGTACCGTGCGAAAGAAGTTGAACATATGTACGCACACAAACATTGGTGGGTCAGCCAAAAGCAATCACAGGCGTTAAGGACAACAATGAAAATGTAACTTTCGTGGCGACGACTTTTAAAGGAGGCGGAAAGGGCAGGGCGTACTGGGAGTGGTGGCTGTGTGGGCAGGGGGCAGCTTGTAAAGGGCAGGGGCCACACAGACTGTGAAGTGGTGAAAGGATGGGAAGGAGGAGCTGAATAATTCAGGAGAATTGTCAAGACAGTGACTCCCACACCACCCACCCACCGTGTGTTTCATTGCTTTGCTCTGATCACTGCGCTGGCTCTTGGTGTTAAGAGGCACCTCGCCAGTTTATAGATTTTACAGCTACACGGTGCTTGTAGTGGCCTTTGGCCAGGCACGCCAGTGTTTGAATCACAGAGGGTCAGGTCTCCTTAGAAGGATGACATAACAAGGTACTGCGAGCCATCCAAAGCCCCAGGTTTTCATTTTAATGGTGATTTTATGGGCTGAGACTTCCCAGGTCGTCACAAAACTTGGCTGTGGGAAAAGACGACCAAATGGAAAGGTTATTTTGTCAAGAAACAAATCTTTTTACATTTATATATTATTGTTCCGTAACAAATACAATACGTTGTTTAACCCGCCCAGCTTTCTGTGAAAATAGATGTCAAATTATGTACAGTATAAATATTTTTTGTTATGGCACAGTCCCAGCGTCTTGCGGTAAACTAAAACTACACGCGAGACATTGTGCGGCCGCGTAATGCTACGTGTCAGTGAAAATTGTCGCCGCAGTCTCCGAGGGATATCAAGAGGGAGAAGGGGGGGGGGCAACAACAAAAAATCTGAAACATTTAACAAAACAAACATCCAGCGGCTTTCCTGCCGCAGCGTTATAATTGTGGGAAATTTTGCATCCACGGGACAGGATGCAGATAGCTTGTGGTGCTTGGCTGCAGATTTGCCGATTCTGTCACTCTTCAGATGAGGAGAGGCCTCGGTGCTGAGTGGTGGGGGCCTCCTGCACAGTTCAGCAAGGAACTCCAAATTTCACAGCAGGCGATAGACAAAGGAAGAGGCCCACGCATGATGGTGTGTCTTAGTTAAAGCCAACTCATTGCATCATCAATGCCAGTGGCAGCAGCAGCAATGGCTTCACCATCATTGTCACTGTCGGTAGCAGCAGCAGCAGCATCGTCAACTGATAATTAATGAGTTGAAATAAATAAATGTTATCTGGCTCATCAGCCATGGTCAATCCACTGCTGCATGAAGGCTTCCCCAAGCCGCCGCTGCCCCCACCCCTCGCGATTCAGCGATGTAATAATCCACCTGGCACCTGCACTCGAACTGATTTCATGGCTCCATCTCCCCAGCGGACGCATTCTATTCGTTGTCTGCCACTGTTGCAATTCTTTCCCATCGGCCATCGTCATTCTGTATAGTGACAGTGTATATTGTAAAAGTGATCATGAATCTCAGTGTGCTTTCATCTGCGGAAATAAATGACATCCATAAATCAACAACCACAATCGCACAGGTGTCTCTCGTAAAAGCGATCGGTTGTCTCAACGGGCGCTGCCACCTGGTTCAATAACGCAAACGTAATTACGTCGAGTTAAGGTGACTTTACTCGTAAAGAAGACGTAAAAAAAAACGACCAGACAGAAACGAACAAAGACTGGCCAAAAAAATTGTCAGGGCCTAAATTTTTTTTTTATAGATGCGTGCGACACCTTAGAGCAATGTTCCGACACCGAAACATTTTCAGGATATTTTCTCAAGGCTACACCTACCTGCAGATTTCCGCTCTTCCTGTGTTAATGCCATGCGATTGACGTCCCAAGGCTGCGGCTTCTGCTACGTTTGCAAGACCCCCCCCGCCTCCTGGCCCTTGTCACCCCCAGGGGGGCTGGCTCACCAGAAGGGGGGGGGGCAGCACTGGGCGATAAACACGGATGGGGCTCTCAGGCAGGGATGGACGTTGTTTTTTTTACGCGCAGTGTGAACACTTCTCTTTTTTTTCCATTTCCTTCCCCAACCTCCCAGGGCAAGCCAAGCCCGGCCACCGCAACCAGATTTTGTTTGAGTAGGAAAAAAAAATCCCAGCAAAGGAACTCTTGCGCACGTTCTAAGGGAGTGGTCCTTTGTTAAACTCATCCCTGTTTGTGTTGCCCATCCATCGCTAACTTGAAACTCGTGCGTGCCGGAATCCTCACGCATGGAAACACGTATGAGCCGAGCTTCAATTCTGATTCATGTTCAAAGTGAAATATTGTTCTGGAAAGCCGAGGGGCTGATTTAACTACTACACGTATATTTTATTCATACGTGACGGTACAGGACACGGCATTCTGCCCTGTATATATGAAATATGCTGAAGCACGGTTTATTGCAGTTTCTGCATTTATTTGTGTTTGGGGTTGACCACGGCGTTCCTGTCAATGTCGGTGTTTTTGCACCTTTGTTTTCGCGTCAATTCATGCTTTGTTGCATGGCTATTGGGTCATGACTATTGAGGAGTTGTGTTTAAGCCATGGGTGGCAGTAGCAACGGAGCCAAACAAACATTGTTTATTTAGAGATTGTTTTCACAATACGAGCTTAGTTTACTTCTCGCATGCCATTAAGCAAGGACATGTGTCCATAATATAATTTATTTTCTGTTAAAAGGAAAGGTTCTGAAAATAGGGGTAGGAAAAAAATCACACTTACACTCGTGCGAGAAAGCATTTGGTTAAGTTGTTGTGTTAAGATAAATGGAACTTCATTCATTCCTGTGATGTCCACCTTACCAACGTGGTGTGACCAGTCAATACGAACGCACCAGCAACGGTGCTTAGACGGTCAGCTGTGCACGGCTCCAAAACCACCGCATGAGCACTGGAACTGCTCACCAGAGTCTGAGTTGATCTGCGCGAATAAAAGAGACGAACATTTACCCCTTGGCTGTGCGCGCATGACTGATGTGATTACAGTGTTGTGTAGGAGTTCCCGATAGCCACATCTGTCCTGCCACCTGTTGTGCATGATGTCATCCGCTATGGCGTAACAATCTACTGCCAAATATAGCGCTCAGCGGTGACGTATTCTGAAACTGGATTGCATCAACTGCGTTGCACAATTGACTTTGCTCAGGTTTTTAAGGCTGGGGTTATTTTTTTTTTTACGATTGAATTCGAGAACACGTACGCGACTTGAAGACGACATCGCGTTGACTGTTGAGCTAAGTTAGTGGGCTTGGGCAACACGCTCTTCTCAGGGATGGTGACCGGTGCTAGTAGTCAAGTCTAATGATGGAGTGGCAGGCAAAGGAGGGAACGAATCCAAGAGGGTGTAAACCATGCAGATGGGGTTGATGAATTTAGATAATTTCCAGGGGTTGTATGGATTTTTGTAACGCGACACCAAGGCAGATGCCAAAAGGCTTTCGGAGGCCTTCATGCAGCAGTCCATAGATCATTGCTGATATTGATTTGAGATTCCATTCTATTAGTGTCACTGATGAAATACGATAAGTCGCTTTTCACTTATATTTATAAGTCTGAAGAGCCATTCAACCATTTATTTATAACTATGGGGAATAAACACAAAATGTAAGAATCGTGGCATTAACATTGGGCTAAGATTGATTATTGTTTATCTACACGGCATCCTTGATACGAGTTCCTCATAGGTTACAGTAAAATAAATTCTACTGCCAAAATAAAAAAGTGCTTATTTATTTAACTAAGGAACACTGAGCCCCCTTCTGTACTTTTGCATGCTAGAGTTTTGGCATGGATGAGAGGAAGGCAAAGCTAACTTCTTAATTTTACCATTACTAATCATGGAAAAAATATCAC